CTCGAGGCTCCTAGAAAACGCTCGAGACTCCTGGAAAACACTCGGGGCTCCTGGGAAACACTCGGGGCTCCTGAGAAACACTCGGAGCTCCTGGAAAACACTCGGGGCTTCTGAGAAACACTCGAGGCTCCTGGGAAACACTCGGGGCTCCTGGAAAACACTCGAGGCTCCTGGGAAACACTTGGGGCTCCTGGGAAACACTCGGGCTCCTGGGAAACACTCGAGGCTCCTGGGAAACCCTCGAGGCTCCTGGGAAACACTCGGGGCTCCTGGGAAACACTCGGGTCTCCTGGGAAACACTCGAGGCTCCTGGGAAACAGTCGGGGCTCCTGGGAAACACTCGAGGCTCCTGGGAAACATTCGAGGCTTCTGCGAAACACTCGGTGCTCCTGGCAAACACTCGAGGCTCCTGGGAAACATTCGAGGCTTCTGCGAAACACTCGAGGCTCCTGCGAAACATTCGAGGTTCCTGGGAAACACTCGGGGCTCCTGGGAAACACTCGAGGCTCCTGGGAAACACTCGGGGCTCCTGAGAATCACTCGGGGCTCCTGGAAAACACTCGAGGCTCCTGGGAAACACCACTTCGCGGCTTCCTGGGAAGCACTCGGGAGCTCCGGGGAAGCACTCGGGTCTCCTGTGGAAGCACTCGAGGCACCTGGGGGAAACAGTCGGGACTCACTGGGAAACAATCGGGGATCCTGGGAAAACACTCGGGGCTCTCCTGGCGAAACACCTCGGGGCTCTTGAGAAACACTCGGGGCTCCTGGATGAAATCACTCGTGGGCCCCTGTGAGAAACCTCGATGCTATGGGAAAAGTTCGGGGCTCGGAAAACCCACTCGGGCTCCTGGATCAAAACACTCGGGGCTCCTGGGGGGAAAACACTCGAGGCTCTTGGGGAAACACTCGAGGCTCTGTGAATAAACACACTTCGGGGTCCTGGGAAAAAACACTTAGAGGGATCCTGCGCAAACACTTCGGGCTCCTGGAAAACACTCGCGGGTTCCTGGGAAACACTCGAGGCTCCTGGAAACACTCGAGGCTCTGGGAAACATCGGGGCTCTGCGGAAACACTCGGTGTCTTCCTGGGAAACACTTCGAGGCTCTCTGGGTATGTTCATCAACAGTCCTGGTCTAGGGAAACACTCGAGGCTCCTGGGAAACATTCGAGGCTTCTGCAATGCACTCGCGGCGTCCTGGGAAACACTCCGAGGGATCCAGGGAAAACATTCGAGGCTTCTGCGAAAAACACTCGAGGGCTCCTGCTCGAAACATTCGAGGTTCCTGGGAAAAACTCGGGGGCTCTTGGGAATACTCGAGGCTCCAGGGAAAAACTTCGAGGCTCTGGGAATATATTCTCGAGGCTTCTGGAAAGACACTCGAGGGCTCCTGGGAAACACTCGAGGCTCCAGGGGGAAACATTCGGCAGGCTTCTGCGAAAACACTCGAGGGCTCTGGGAAAACATTCGAGGTTCAGGGAAAACACTCGGGGCTCTTGGGAAAAACACTCTGAGGCTCCTGGGAATCCACTCGGGTAGGGGCTTCTTGAGAATCGCACTCGGCGCTCCTGGGAAACACTGAACGGCTCCTTGAAACCAATCGGGGCCTCCTGGGAAACATCGAGGCTCGACGCCGAAAAACTCGAAGCTCTTGGAAACATTCGGGGCTTCCAGGGAAGCACTGTAGGCTCCTGCGAAAACACTCGAGGCTCCTTGGGAAACATCGGGGGCTTTGGTGGAGAAACCACTCGTATGCTCCTTGGGAACAGACTCGGGGCCTCCTGGGAAACAATCAGAGGGTCCTGGGAAACACTCGAGGCTACTGGGAAACACTGGGGGCTTCTGGGAAACACTCGGGTCTCCTGGGAAACACTCGAGACTCCTGGGAAACACTCGGGGCTCCTAGGGAAACACTTGATGCTCCGGTAAACACTCGAGGCTTCTGGGAAACGCTCGGGGCTCTTGGGAAACACTCGGGGATCCTGGGAAACACTCGAGGGTCCTGGGAAACACTCGGGCTCCTGGGAAACACTCGGGGGCTCCTGGGGAAAGATCAACTCGGGTGACACCTGGGAAAACACTCGAGCTTCTTATCTGTTATTCACCTCTTTTCATGTCCCTGGGGGAAAACACTCGAGGCTCCTGGAAAAACCACTCGAGGCTCCTTGGAAACACCTCGAGGCATCCTGGAAACATCGGGGTCCTGGGGAAACAAGCGGGGTCCTGGGAAAGCATCGAGGATCCTGCTCGAAACACTCGAAGTTCTGGGAAACACTCGGGGCTCCTGGGAAACACTCGGGCGCTTTTGGGAAAAACACTCGGTGGCTCCTGGAAACACTCGGGGCTCTTTGGGAAAACAATCGAGTCTTCCTGGGAAACACTTGGGCTTCTCTAGGAGGAAACACTCGAGGAAGGCTCCTAGGAAGTGTACTTTGATGTCCTGGGAAACACTGAGGCTTTTGGGAGGAAACGCTCGGGGCTCTTGTGGGAAACACTCGGGGGTCTGGGAGAAAACACTCGAGGGTTCCTTGGAAACCACTCGGGGTCACTGGGAAACATCTCGGGGGGCCTCCCCCTTGGGAAACACTCGGGGCTCCGGAGGAAACACTCGAGGCTCCTGGGAAACACTCAAGGCTCCTGGAAAACAATCGAGGCTCCTTGGAAACTCTGCGATGGCGTGTGTCTGGGAAAACACTCGGGGCTCCTGTGAAAACTCGGGGGGCTCCTGGGAAACACTCGACGCCTCCTGCGAAAACACTAGAAGCTTCTAGGGTAAACGTACTTCTGGGCTTTGGAATACAACTCGAGCGGCTCCTGGAAACACACTCGGGGCCTCTTGGAATACACTCGATATGGCTCCTGGGAAACGCTCGGAGCTTCTAGGAAACATCGAAGCTCCTGGGGAAACAACCTCTGGGATCCTGGGAAACAACTCGAGGTCCTGGGAACATTCGAAAGCTTCTGGGGAAACACTCGAGGCTCATCGGGAAGCACTCAGGGGCTCCTGGGAGGGAAACACTCGGTTGCCTCCTGAGAAAATCAACTCTGGGCTCAGGGATAGCCACTATGGTGCTCCTGGGAAGCATTATGGGCGCTCCTGGGAAGAACTAAGGGGCTCCTGGAAAGCTCAACTCTGGGCCTCCTGGGAAAGCACTAGGTGGCTCCTGGAAAGCACTCTGGGCTCCTGGAAGCACTAGGGGCTCTGGAAAGTTACTCTGGGCTCCTTGGGAGGCATATTTTATGCAAAGTGATTATCCCGTCTGAGTTTATGGTTATAATTGGGGGAATGAGAAGAGACAATATTATCTGACTCCATTGAAATACAGGAAAAGGTATTATTACTTTGGAAACAAGAGCCTCCTCCGCACCAGGACTCGCGGTCAAATAACAATGAATAAAATATTTAAGAAAATATACTTTTTTTCTGACTGACAAATAACTAATATTTTTTTCTTATCGCAAGATAGTCATAATGAGTAACTTAAAAAAAATATGATGTAAGGATTTTTTTTACGAATAACTTGCTCATCCACGTCAATAAATTTCTCAAATAAATCAAAACCTATCCAACGACTTGTATTAAAAAATTATAAGTTTTTGGAGGGGAGATAGATTAATAGTTGAGGAAGCTCCAGAAGGAACAAATTGGATTTGATAGTTAATAATAGGAGAGGAGAGTTATTAAATGGAGAGTTAGAGGTATTGGGAAGATGGAGGGAATATTTTGAGGAATTGTTAAATGTTGATGAAGATAGGGAAGCTGTGATTTCGTGTATAGGGCAAGGTAGGAATAACATCTTGTAGGAGTGAGGAAGAGCAGTTGTGAGTGTGGGGGAAGTTCGTGAGGTAGTGGGTAGAATGAAAGGGGGTAAGGGACAGCTGGAGATTGATGGGATAAAGATATAAATGTTAAAAGCAGGAGGGGATATAGTTTTGGATATGTGGTTGGTGCAATTATTTAATAAATGTATGGGAAGAGGGTAGGTATCCTGAGGGGCTGGGCCATTTTGAGAGCACGCATGTTCTTTGTATAAAGGCAAAGGGGCAATAAGGAGAGTGCAAAATATTATAGGGGAATAAGTCTGTTGCAACTATACCTGGGTAAAGTGTTTTGGTTAGAGTTATTATTGAAGGAATTATGAGTATGACTCAGAGAATAGGATAGATGAACAAGGAGGCGTTGGAAATTTAGGGGTTGTTTGGACAGGTGTTTACAGTAAAATACATATAATGTGAACGTATTTAGAATAAGGGTAAAGAGGTTTTGTGGCATTATGGATTGGAAAATGATATGACAGGGTGGATAGGGGGGCAATGTGGCACTATATTGCAAATGTATGGAATAGGCTGGATAGGTTATTGGAAGCAGTGAAAAAGTTTTTAATAGGATAGGAGGCTGTCAGGTTAGAGTATGTAGGGCGGAGAGGGTGATGCATTGTCATGTATAACTATGGCCTCTTAGACAAGGAAATGTGTGTTGTCATCATGTGTTTGTTCAATTTATATTTATAGATGGAGGTCTGTAAGCAGAAAGTGAAAGTCGGGTTTGTTGGCAAGAGTGTGTGATGTTAAAGATAAAGGAACCTAACACAAAGTGGTGAGTTGTAACGTTTGAACTTCTTTGCTGATGACACGTGCTTTTGGGAGATTCTGAAGAGGAAAGTTGCAGAGGTTGGTTGATGAGTTTGGTAGGGTATGTAAAAGGAAGAAAAGATTTATAAGTGAAATGATAGAAAAGAGTAAATATAAAGAGGATAACAAGAAAATTAGGTAACGGAAGATTGGGATATTAGGTGGAGGGAAAGGAGATAAAGAGTAGGGGAAGTGGAGGTTGAATGTATTCGGATATTTAGAAGTGGACGTGTCAGTAGATGAGTTTATGAAAGATGAGATGAGTCATAGAACTGACGAGGGGAAGAAAGTGAGTGGTATAGAGGTGCACTGAGGAGTCTCTGGAGACAAAGAACTTTGTCCATGAAAGCAAAGAGGGGAATGTTTGATAGTATATGGGTGTGAAGCATGGGAGGTGAATGTTGCAACAAGGAGACTTCTCTCTGAGGGCAATGTGTGGTGTGAATATAATGCAGAGAATTCGTTGTTTGGAAATTAGGAGGAGGTACAGAATTACCAAAACTATTATCCAGAGTGCTGAGGAGGGTTGTTGAGGTGGTTCGGACATGTAGAGAGATTGGAACAAAATACAATGACTTCGAGAGTGCGTAAATCTGTAGTGGAGGAAAGGCGGGGGGAGATGTCGGCCTAGAAAGTGTTTAGAGGAGAGAGGGTAAAGGAGGCTTAGTGTGCGAGGGGCTTGGACTTCCAGCAAGATGCATGAGCGTGTTAGATAGGAGCGAAAGGAGACAAATGGACTTGGACGTGCTGTTGGAGTGTATAGCCAATGGTAACATTTATGAAGGGAATTCAGGGAAAACCGGCAGGCTGGAACTTGAGTCCTGGAGATAGGTATGTCAGTGTCTGCACTCTGAAGGAGGGGTTTGTTAAATGTTGCAGTTTTATAACTGTAGTGTAAACGCTACTCTGGCAAACACAGTGATGGAGTAAATGACGGGTGTAAAGTTGAAAAATAAGTTTTTCTTTTTTGGGCCCAGACCTACCTTTGGTTGGGAGACGGCGATGTGTTAATAATAATAATAATATGATAATATGTTTTATATTATATATATATATTTATATATCGATTATATATATATTATATATGATTATATTATAGATATATATATATTATATATATATTTACAAAGACTTATTTTTTGTATCAACAACAGCCTAAGGGAGGTATCACTTGACTAGTGTTCGCACGATCACCATTTCGGATGTAAATCAGTGTTTTCTTTTACAAAATATGATGAAAACCGTTTACAACGTATTTTACTAGTGCTATATAACCGTTATTTATTACACAGTAGTTACCACAACCACATTATCGCTTGCTGAAGTGTATATACAAGTACAGAGTGCAACAATTAGGATACTGGAACAAGCATAATTTTCATAACTCTGTTGTCGTTAAAAGTAACACGACGGCCATTTCATTTTAATAACTTGTTTGTGTACAGTATTAACAGTGTTGTTTTATGGGTCATTAACAAGGTCAGCTCATTATGTGCTATTTGGGAATTTCATGAGAAAGTATTGAAGTTAATTTCTGTCAGCCCACAGTATAAATAATTTTATATAATTTTAAGTCTCATGAACAAGTACACTGGAATGTGAAGAATTATAATGAATATCAGTTATTGAGATATTTTCTTAAAGGAAATAGAAATTAATTACAAGTTAACTTTATGGAACATTTTGTGAAGGAGTCGTAGAATGTATTATCAACGTGTATTTACGGATGACCAACATTTAATGACTAAAAGTTCTATTTCTTCTTCTTTTACACCAATTCAATTTAAACGGGAAATATTTTTTCAACCTTAGTATACTAAGACTATCGGATTACAGGTTAATTAATTAGCTTCACATTAAGAAATTACATAATGAAAAGATTTTTTTAGTACCTAAATAGAATCGTTACTATATAACTTTCCTGGTATTTACATAGGTAACAACAAAGAAGCAGCAAAATATGAGCAGAGTCGAAAGATTCAGTTTATGTAAGAACATAAGAATAGAGGAACACTGCGGCAGTCCTACTGACCTATTCTAGGAAGTTCTTCTCAAAAACCAACCATTAAAATTAGCTAACCTTTTCCCAAAGCCACCCATAATTCCCAAAGATATCACTGTTTTCCAAAGCTGGAAGTAAAAGCTAAATCATCTGAAAAAAGGTGGTTTGAAAAATATCTTGGAGAATATTACTGTGTTCTTTACGTTTCACGCTCAGAGAAGCTTTATATTTCCAACTCTTCCGAATCCACTTCCGTGGATATTGATTTTTCGCAAAAGTGATACATTAGTCGAGAACTGATGACTGAAATTTATGCCAAAGATTCTCCCTACTGAAGGTCTGAAACAACAGGAAAGCCACACCCATAAAATCTACAGTCAAATCCTGTACTAGAACGTCAGGTTCTACTGGTTGAGGCATCAAGCAAGAGACAGCAAGGTACTGACGTCACTCTCAGAAACAAGGACAGAAGGATTTCCTAGCTACAAGAGAATATTAAGGATATACGGTATATTTCACAAATAACTCGCACTTACCAGAGTAAACCTGTGACGAGGTTTAG